TGGGATTCCAGTATTGAAAGTAGTGTTGGGCTGTAAACAATGTAATATCGAGAACCCATCAAATTTATGTTGATAACTGTGATAAGCTGTGGACATTTTTACTCATTATGAATTAATGTAACAGCTGATCAAACAACATAAATTAAGGCAACAGCAGCTTGTCAGTGCATGTCACTAATAAGTCTGCATGCTCTAAGCGTCTCTGTGTGAATGAGTGCCATAGTTTGTTCTGCTACACAAACTCAAACACACATGACACTTACAGTGTTTTCAGTGTCTGAATTTATTTATTATTAATTTATTTCATTAGACATCATGTTTCATGATAAATTTGTACTTAATCATAAAACACTGAATTCAGAAAAAATTTTAATGGAAATACATTATCTACATTTTCTTCCTCATTAACGGATAATGAATATTGTATAATATGAACAAAAAAAAATATCGTGATAATATTTTTGGCCAAATTGCCCAGCCCAAATTGAAAGTTTGGGTTAGCCTATAATATTTTATCAAAGTGAAAAATAAGGAATAAGTGAAGGAACGGATATGCAAGAAATCAACAGCTGGTGGTTAACAACGTTTACTGCAGCAGAGAGACGCAGTGTGTCCATGGGCCATTGTGTTTGATCAATGTGCATGGTTTGGTCTAGTAGTAGTTAAATCTCTGAGCTGGTAAAAGAAAGGTTTGCAGGTTCAAACTCCTCTAGGATGATCCAGTAGCATTGCACCATTGAGCAAGTCACTTAACCTGCAGGTTGCTCCAGGGGGACGGCTCCTGAATTAACAGTTTTATTCAGTGTCACTATAGAGTAAAGCATCCGTTAAATTACTAATTAGGTAAATCATTTGTTAATTAATTCATGTCCAGTGCAAGATGCTTTTGCTGACGTAAGTACTTCACTCATAGCAAGTGCTGGTAACTAAACCTGATAGGGATCAACTTAATATATTAGACAGTATTATTTTAAACAGTGGTCTAATATATAAATATTGATATTAGGCTACTGTTGAACATTTTCAATTAAAAAAAATAAAAGACAAAAAAATAAAACAGCTTGATAATACTGGAAAAACAACAACAACTACATTTATGTAGAACTTCAAAACAATTAACTGTTATACACCAACTTTTCAATTAGACAATTTAAAGACATGTTATTTTTATTTCCAAAAGGAGCTGTGGCTGTTGTAATATGAAACTCATTTTCTTTAATTAAATTAATCTTTTACTTTGAAAATGGAGGATGAAACATTTTTAAACCTTTAAGACATTTGTAAAATGGAATGATAGATTAAGACAAAAGCAAATACAGTAGAAAGTAATTTCAAGTAATAATATTGAAAGTATATGTTTTGCTTCTTAATGGTGTGGATAATTATACTTCTGCAAGTGAGCACATAATGGCAGTGATTCACATACAGTAGCTTATTTAAGAAGTCGCTTGATGCTCATATGCTTTTCTGAGGCTGGTGCTCTTTTACATCTTCCTATCATCACAAAACTTGCTCCGGGTTGTGTTTAAAATGGACTTTAACCCACTCGTCTGCTCTGTTGACACATGGATGTTGTAGTCGCCATAATTTGCATCCCCTTACGATGCTGCAGCATGCGAAGTGGTTTCCCAAGCATAGGGTCTGTTGCCATGGCAAAATATTGAAATATTCAGAACTGTTCAGCCGTTACCTGACATTCATATAGTTATGAAAGATATTATTTGTTCAGGGACTGAACATGTGTATTGCCTGTTTTGTCTTTATTATTATTTAGTCATTTATTGATATTATTTTAATAAATTAAAACCATGGTGTGCTTTCTTGTTTGATACATTTTGCATATTATTTTTCCCTTTTGTGTTGAGTTCAAGATCTTTGGTATCTGCTCTGATCAGAACATGAGTGGAGAGCGGAGCTGCATGATTTTGCCTTGAGCAAGGAGTGTTTTTATCTTTTTATTTTTAAGACTCTCACTCCAAACTCACTTCAAAAGCACTCCATCACAATAACATTCAAATACCCCAAGTGTCTGCATTAATTCACCATTTGTTAAAATTTGTAAATGCACTATTAGTAGTCGTGCAAATAGCAAGAGCAGGAACGGCTAAGGATTTCCAATTTTAAAAAGATAAAAAAGAAGTTCATTTCACATTTGCACCAGAGGAACATTTTCATAGTTCCTATAACTGTTGGTGGAAGTACGCGCTTTTTGACGTGTTCGCACCGCAGGAATGATTTTAGTTCTGTCATGACAACTCTCGGAGGGATTGGCATGGTAATGTACATGACAATGTTAATGTATTTGGTCTTGGCGGAATAGATCGATGTCACCAGGTCAGATTGAGCTAGACCTATCAGACTGCGCCATCTAGAGTTTCATGACAGAACTCTGTATTTATAGGAACACTTTTTGGTGGGACTAAATTAGCTCCTTCAGAATAGGGTCTAACCCAGCACAACAGGAACTACCAGTGACATAAGTGTATGACTGGCTGAATGCATGACATGTTAAAACACTGGTTCCCACTGTTTTTAAAAAAGCCGCGTAAACGCACAGTTTACATACTCCATGAACTAACTCCACAAACATGGAAAACAGCGACAGATGGACCAACGCTGAAGTCCAGGCACTTCTTCATCCTCCATCTTCCAGTTGTTGAATGCCGTGCTTAAATGAAAGCGATGTGAATGCAACTTGGAAAATGTACCTTGGGGACAGATTTAGTTTTCATGGACCTCCCTGATGGCTAGTTTCTATATCTGAGTTCCTATAACTACTCAGTGCAAAAGTCCCTGTAATATCAAAAGAGGCACTATACATCACTATATTGTTTCAGATGTATAGTCTATTCAGAATTTCAGACAATTATACAATCATAATACATTCCTATCGTTTCTATATGTTGCTCTAAATATGGCTGCTGTGCTCGATGGGAGGGTTTAGACCTGTTTGCACCAAGACGAATGTCTGGTGTGAAAATCATGGTTATGTTCACACTGCAAGCAAATGTGGCCCAAATCCAATTTTTTTACTCAAATGTGACTTGGATCTGTTTTTGTCATGACAGTGTGAACAGCACAAACCGCATGGAATCTGATCTTTTCAATTCCGATTCGTGCCACTTCCATATGTGTTACTAAATCCGATACAGGTCAGATGTTTTGCAATGCGACCGCAGTCTGAACAGTCATGTCAGAATTCATGCGACTTTTACATCACTCTACATCAACATTTGTCATGATTCAGCGCTCATGGGAGGCACTTCAAAGATTTTACATACCCAAAGTTATCAAGACAGTAGCAAAACGTAGTCAGTGGAAGTGTGATGTGTCAGAACTCATAAGTATTACAGTGACAACTCTATATACAAGCAAAACATAAGGGCTCGTATCATAAAAGTTTCAAAACTCTCTTTTGTCACATCCTTGTCTTTATTTTTCATATCGCCTGCGCTTAATTTCGTTGGCTTTTGCAGCAGATCACACTATAAATAAATGCATAATCGGTTTATGTCCTCCGTGTTTACTTGCGCATGACGGTACACTGCTCAAGTGTTGCCAAGTCCACAGTTTTCCCGCGAATTGGGCTACTTTTTCACTGTTGCCGTGGTTTGTTTTTCAACTTCGTGCATAGAAGTGTCCCTACTAATGCGATATTTATCCCCGAAACTTGATTAGACTAGTTTTGAGAAGCAATTGGGCAGATTTTCTTCGGAAAACCTGGCAACCCTGCTCGTATCACACTTTTTTTTTTGTTATATTCTCTTTTCAATTGCACGGTAAATAACTGGCCAACCAATAAGAGTCACGCTTTTGGTCATGTGCCAGTTTCAGGTTTTCACTCCCACAACTTTGCAGGGCACTCTCAGAAAAAAGGTACAAAAGCTGTCACTGGGCCGGTAACTTTTCAAAAAGTACTAATATGTATCATTTAAGCACTAATATGTACCTTAAGGTGCTTAAATATGTACCCTTTAGGGTGTACCTTTTTTCTGGAAGTGTGTGTACATGGCCAGTAAGTGGTTTGCAACAGAGAATGGACACATTGAACATAATTGATGTGTAAATGTTAGTGGATGTCAGAAGAAAAGAGTTTGCCTAGGGCATTAGTTCATCATGTGGGCATCGAGCAACTCTGCGCAGTAGAGGAGCACGAAAGGTTTGGGCTGAAAGCACAGGAGACAAACAAGGGTCAAGAGGACGGAAGAATGATATGAATACCTTTAAAACATCTCTCTTCTTAACCACTGCATTAATGACTGAGAGAGTAACGGGTTGTCTCACGCAGTAACTACCAGCCGAGGTCAGCGCATTGCCTTGGGTGAGCACCCGTACTGCAGAAGCGGTTGTGAGATGTGAGAAGAAAAAAAATAGTTCATCGAAGGTTTGGCAACAAGGACAGTCAGACGAGAATTTCCGAGAGAAAAAGCTGAAATGTCAGAGCGACAGCACTCTAAATAGACTGAGAATGAGGTAAAGAGAGAAGATAATGACTGCTCTCTGTCTACAGTTTCTTGTCATTTTGCTCCCAGCTAGAGTCAGAAAATGTAGCAATGTTGTTGTTTTTTTCCCTCTCATTTTCTCACTCTGCAACAGTCTACTCTTTAGAGATGCATGACTCATATACCAATGCTTTTTATCCGTTTTAAAAGAGATCACAGGTTTGCGCCTAAGCAAACAATTTAAACACTTCTTAGTGGTGTAAAGCGCCCACTTGTGGTCGCACATGAAATTGAATATTATAGGTGTACCGTAGTGATTCAGAAAAACACGGTTTGGAAAATGGATTCATGGTGTACTCGCTTATTATATAAATTTTGTTAATTTTGAACACAAAAAAAGTTACGTACTGCAGCTTTAAGAATATAATATTGCTCTGTTTTCAAAATGAGAATATAAAAAAAACATTGTACTTTAAAATATTTGGAAGTGTTTTTTCCTTTTACTCAAATATAATACATACTGTACTAAAATACAGAACGAATTGTTTTCGCTAACTTCAAAACAAGAATAAGATGTAGCTTGCAAATTATATTTTAATGCAACGTTATGATGAAAATCTCTTTATAAAGTCAGCTTGAATTAATGATAACACAAAAAGAATAATTAAACATTCTGTTTTAGAACACCTGAGTACTGTAACCCTTTGATTCCGTTGGCCTTCCTGCTTCTACAGCCAACCATTGGAGGAGAATTTGACTTGAAGCTGCTCTAAATCTGCCTTTGATAAAGGCTGCAGCGGGGACCGGCACACACCGCCGTGATATCCAAACCACTCCATTGCTTGTTTCAAAGCGGGAACGCCATACTGCCGCGTTACCTATAAAAAAGTGGGGGAGGGACACTGCAATTTAATGCATAGAGTCGAAATCAATCATAGATTCTCTTTTACACAAGGTCAAAGCCATCGTTTAGAGTCTGTTCACCCTGATCAAACCTTTTAGGATCAGCCAGTTATGTTTATCTTTTGTTCAAAAGCTTATTTACACCATATTGTAAATCTTTCTCATGGCCTTTGAAGCAAAGCTCATGTTCGGCAGCTCTTGGGGGAAGGGTTGCTTCCAATGTTTATCATGCCTATATAGCAGCAAATGTATCTGTGGTATTAATGTGTGGCGTTGCCATGGTGATGTGATGCTCACTGCTGTGTTGGGTTCGATGAGGCGATATTGGAGCTCTCTGGCCTCATCCCAGCGTCCTGAAACACACAGCTGCGCTAGATCACACACCTGCTGACCCAGGACATTTGCGAGAGCACACACGCCTCCCACGGCCCCTATAACAAAGAGTATAATCGGCTCTTAAAGGAATAGTTCACCCGAAAATTTGGCTGAAAATGTATTCACCCTCAGGCCATCCAAGATGTAGAGTTTGTTTCTTCATCAGGTTTGGAGAAATGTAGCATTGCATCACTTGCTCAGCAATGGATGCTCTGCAGTGAATGGGTGCCGTCAGAACGAGAGTCCAAACAGCTGATAAAAACATCACAATAATCCACACCACTCCAGTCCATCAGTTAATGTCTTGTGAAGTAAAACGCTGCATGTTTGTAAGAAAGAAATCTATTATTAAGACGTTTTTAACTTTAACCCTTTGCTGCACAAGCTATGAAAACCCCTTCTAATGCACAACATGGGTCTAAAATGACCCGTATGTTATTTCATACTTCGCTGGGCATTTTTTTTGTTTTATCTTTTGAAATCTGTTTATTTTAGCATTTAATATTTCTCTGATCTATAAATATCTTTTTGCAATGACCACAAACGTTTCCCTAGGTTTTGTGTTACTACATCAAGTTTACACACATGGGTCAAAAATTACCCATCTATGCAAGCATTAAACAAAACTAAAGAATAAAGACATTTTGTTAAAATAATTATTATAGCAGTTATTTAGACCAACATATTTAACACTTTAAATATGTTTAGTTGCCACTTTGTCACACATAACATACACACATATCACTGATAACCGATAACATTGAAATTGAACTGTCTGTAGTGCATGTGACCGAATAGATGAAAATAAAACTAACAAAATAAAATCAAGCCATCTCAAATTGCCATCTCAGTGCTTACATGCCTCACAAATGACAACTACAGGTTTGTGCTCCTTGCACACAGGCCTGACACAGAACACCAGCTGATGACTTCTAGTAACCATTGATTAGCTAGTTCAGGTGTGTTTGATTAGGGTTGGAGCTGAACTCTGCAGGACGGTGCAAAGAAACACTCATCCATAACTGAAATAACATAGGAAATGAATACGGGTCATTCTAGACCCATGTTGTGCATTAGAAGAGTAGTGACACAAAAATGTCAACATTTTATTAAAAAAGAAATAAAAAATAAAAATAAGGATTTGTGATGACCAAAAACAAGTTAATTTGCGGAATTCCTGGAATTCTGAATGATGAAATTAATTTCTTGCAAAGATATAGAAAAAATAAACTCAGTCGGGTCACTTTAGACCCATGATGTGCATCAAAGGGTTAAACTGTCCATAATCCATAATATTGTTTCCTCCAGTGAAAAAGCCCATCTCCTGTTGTCTCACACTAAAATCCACCGACATATTTGTTTAGAGCTGTTTTGGACTGTTTTCACTTGTAAATGGTGTTTGATTTGTGCATATTTCTCTCCTGATTCAGACTAGACCACTTTTTCAATGAAGAAGGCACTATTTCAGTTGGAAGCAATGGTTTGAAGTCAAAAGCTGCATGTTTGTAAGAAACAAATCCATCATTAAGACTTTTTGTCAAAATTCTAATCCATAATCCATAATTACGACAGCGTTTTAGTGCCACGTTACAAAATAAAAAATTGTAAGATTAAAGTCAGAATATTTTGAGAAAAAAGTAAAAATTACGGGAATAAAGTCCTAGCAATACAAGAATAAAGCCGAAATATTTTGAGAAAAAAAGTTAAAATTACGGGAATAAAGTCCTAGCAATACAAGAATAAAGTTGGAATATTTTGAGAAAAAAAGTTAAAATTACAGGAATAAAGTCCTAGCAATACAAGAATTAAGTCGGAATATTTTGAGAAAAAAAGTTAAAATTACAGGAATAAAGTCCTAGCAATACAAGAATAATGCCGAAATATTTTGAGAAAAAAGTTAAAATTACAGGAATAAAGTCCTAGCAATACAAGAATAAACTGTCTGTAGTGCATGTGACCGAATAGATGAAAATAAAACTAACAAAATAAAATCAAGCCATCTCAAATTGCCATCTCAGTGCTTACATGCCTCACAAATGACAACTACAGGTTTGTGCTCCTTGCACACAGGCCTGACACAGAACACCAGCTGATGACTTCTAGTAACCATTGATTAGCTAGTTCAGGTGTGTTTGATTAGGGTTGGAGCTGAACTCTGCAGGACGGTGCAAAGAAACACTCATCCATAACTGAAATAACATAGGAAATGAATACGGGTCATTCTAGACCCATGTTGTGCATTAGAAGAGTAGTGACACAAAAATGTCAACATTTTATTAAAAAAGAAATAAAAAATAAAAATAAGGATTTGTGATGACCAAAAACAAGTTAATTTGCGGAATTCCTGGAATTCTGAATGATGAAATTAATTTCTTGCAAAGATATAGAAAAAATAAACTCAGTCGGGTCACTTTAGACCCATGATGTGCATCAAAGGGTTAAACTGTCCATAATCCATAATATTGTTTCCTCCAGTGAAAAAGCCCATCTCCTGTTGTCTCACACTAAAATCCACCGACATATTTGTTTAGAGCTGTTTTGGACTGTTTTCACTTGTAAATGGTGTTTGATTTGTGCATATTTCTCTCCTGATTCAGACTAGACCACTTTTTCAATGAAGAAGGCACTATTTCAGTTGGAAGCAATGGTTTGAAGTCAAAAGCTGCATGTTTGTAAGAAACAAATCCATCATTAAGACTTTTTGTCAAAATTCTAATCCATAATCCATAATTACGACAGCGTTTTAGTGCCACGTTACAAAATAAAAAATTGTAAGATTAAAGTCAGAATATTTTGAGAAAAAAGTAAAAATTACGGGATTTGAGAAAAAAAGTTACAATTACATGAATAAAGTCTTAGCAATACAAGAATAAAGTCGGAATATTTTGAGAAAAAAGTTTAAATTTCAGGAATAAAGTCCTAGCAATACAAGAATTAAGTCTGAATATTTTGAGAAAAAAGTTTAAATTTCAGGAATAAAGTCCTAGCAACACAAGAATAAAGTCGGAATATTTTGAGAAAAAAAGTTAAACAAAAGCTGCATGTTTGTAAGAAACAAATCCATCATTAAGACTTTTTGTCAAAATTCTAATCCATAATCCATAATTACGACAGCGTTTTAGTGCCACGTTACAAAATAAAAAATTGTAAGATTAAAGTCAGAATATTTTGAGAAAAAAGTAAAAATTACGGGAATAAAGTCCTAGCAATACAAGAATAAAGCCGAAATATTTTGAGAAAAAAAGTTAAAATTACGGGAATAAAGTCCTAGCAATACAAGAATAAAGTCGGAATATTTTGAGAAAAAAAGTTAAAA